TATTTGTTAAAAAGCATTTCATGATATCATTATTGTTTATTATTAAATACGGTATCACTTAATAGTAGGGATCGTGATGAAGCAAAATGGCGGCCGTAAAAATCGACCGTTCAAAATTACCTTTATAATGTCTGAATATTAACACTGATTATTTCACAGTATAGGCTGAGCAAAACCGAAGCTTATTGTATTTATAAAACCGCCTAAATTTCTATATACGTGTTTATGGAGTGAATCAAAATTTCACTATTTCAACGAATTTACATCTAAGTATGCAAGTAAGAGACTTTTCCAGAACTCTTCCGTCTGGGGTCCCAATGATTTCTTTCTTGTACCGAAATGTATACTAGTACATATATATAAAACGGACGATGCACTGCTTTGGGCATACAATTCGATTTGTGGGTAAGTTGGTATAGATCCTGACGACTAATAAAATCGATTCAGGTATACGCGCACCCCACGTTTGGTATTGTTAGAGCACAAAATTATAGCTAATAAAAAAAGGAAACAAACAAGTACAATAAAAAAATTACATTTTATGAAGACAAGTAGGGATTGATATATACGTAACCTAGCTAGCTATAGTAATATAGAATGTTTTAATGCTACAAAAAGTATTGAAACAAGAAAGTCAAAACTACAAAAACTGAGTTACTTGAAATCTAAAGGGTTTTTTTTGTAGCATTAAAACTTTCTATATTACTATAGCTAGCTAGGTTACATATATATATATCAATCCCTACTTGTCTTTATAGAATTCAAAAATCTGTTACCGTAATTTATAAAGGGTTGTGTTGTCCATCCTGTCTTTGTGCAATGACGTGTGTTTTTACAGAGGTGATAGAATGTTACACCATTTTATTGACCTATGCACGGATTTATTTATTTCATTTTAATGTTAGGGACGACTGGGATGACCTGAAGGTAAAGAGAGGAAAAGAGTGGTATGCAAGCATACAATGTGTTTAATACCCAACAGTTTAACAGTGTGTAGTTTAACACAGAAGAGCAATCATAAAAAGTAGTTAAGTTCCTTTTGCTCAGTTTTTTTTTTCCTGGGTCATTCACCTAGTGAGTCATCTGTGACTTCTCACAGGAAAGATTTCTGTAAAGTTGTACATAATATGATAAAGTAGTCAGGTTACCGTCATATTGGTAGCACACGTGCCTTGCGAATATTTGCATCATTGTTTTTACTATATAACATCATGTTTTCTCAGTCTCGAAAGCTACTTTTCGATAAATATGTAGATGGAGCTCTCTTCGCTAAATGCGCCACCATTTGTGAACGTACTATTTTAGTTGTTCATATATATATATTTAATATCGTTTCATTTTGTTATACTTTGTATCCAGTCGCTTTCGTTTCTTCAAGCTCAGTCAATAAATTCAGATTCATTTCTTCTCAGACCTTCTGTAATGCTACCGAACCTAACTTTTAGGAGAGATCAGTGAACCCGAGAATATCAAAAATCCAATTCACAAATAAGCTGATTAAACTTCGTATTTTGCATGTTTAATTTTTAATTGATAGGTATATAGTGTATGTGACAAAAAAGTCTAAAAAAAAACACTTATTAATATAGAAAAAAAAAGAAGTACGTTAAGAAAATGAATTTTTTCAACTACTGGTTCTAGGGTGAACACACAAAAACCTATTATAAGATCCTCGGTGTAGCCTGGAGTTGGAAAACCTAATATAATTTCTATTGTTTCTACTTACGTTTAGCTCACACTATCTGTAATGCACGTGAAGCCTATAATATACAAGTTGATAAGATACTAATGTAGACAGCACCTTGTGACGAGGCCCGGCATGGCCAGGTGGTTAGGGCGCTCGACTCGCAATTTGTTTACAAGTTCATTAAAACTTTCACATTATAATATTTGTTTACAAGTTCATTAAAACTTTCACATCATAATATTTGTTTACAAGTTCATTAAAACTTTAACATTATAATATTTGTTTACAAGTTCATTAAAACTTTAACATTATAATATTTGTTTACAAGTTCATTAAAACTTTAACATTATAATATTTGTTTACAAGTTCATTAAAACTTT